TATATATATATATATATATATATATATATATATATATATATATATATATATATACTCCATATTATTTTACATTATTAGTGTATATCTTAAATCTTTATATACTTTTCTTTTTATACTTTTTTTTTTAACTATTTCTGGGTGTAACAGGGACCTTGGCCACACACTTTCATTCCACCTCATGTACCACATGTGAGGCGAATGACAAAGAACCTTGAACCTTAAAAGACTGAGTCTTGTGCAGCTTCTCAGACGGATGAAGACTTCTATATAAAAGACGAAACATTTCAACAATTTAAAAAAAACAATAAAAATTAAAATCCGTCCAGACCTGACTTAACTATATTAGATTTTGCTACCTGGATAATTGAGCAGGCAGCACGGTGGTGCAACTGGTAGAGCTGCTGCCTCTCAGCAAGCAGGTCTTTGTTCAAATCCTTGTCCAGAGGAGCCTGATGATGATTTATATCTACCTGTACAGTGGAAAGTTATAAAAGTACTATCTTTCCCACTTGCAGAAGCATTTTCTGCCACTTTCAAAAACATGAGTCCATGAGGACAAACTTTCCCCTTTTTGTATTAAAGCTTTATTTATTTATTGCTCAAACTCAAAGATAGTTTCTGTTTTTAATTTAGGCTGTAATCCACGGGGTTTTTCTTGTCAGTGGGATTTCCCCAAGGCCAGACTTCTGTTTGGCTGCCAGACTTTTGTTTATTAAACAGCATATTAAATTAGGCATAAGATTTATACAAAACAACATGCATCTGCACATGCTGACTGGAAAATAAATATGTGGTAAAAGGCAACCATGTGTAAAAAGTACTTTTTTTTTAATTTAACTTGTTTTTGAGTGTCTGTGTGAGGTGTTTGGTGGGTGGATTCCTCACATTTCATCTCTGTGAGTGGACAGCAATGAGACTCGTCTGACCTTAGTGGGGGGAAAGCACCGTACAATATCACAACAAGTGAGAGGTTGAAGTCATGAGTCACGAGCTGCAACATGCTCAGACTAGTTGCGCAGTAGGTGAAAGTTCACTCTCTGAATGGCCAGCAGAGGGCGCTGTTAGCTCGTGTTTTAGCATTAATGCGGCTGTTGTGCGTCACTGCGGCGGCTCAGGTGAAAAGTCATCCAGTTATTGTGTGGGCAAACTTATTTGCGTTTTAATAAATGCCACGCTGTTTTTATTACTCATTTAGAACGAAAACAACCTGTAATGAAGGTCATGAAGGCGTGTTATTTTGCTCTTCCTGGTGCTTAGTGAGGGATTTAGTGGATATGATACATGCAGTTTGAATTACTCACACATATTTTAGATAGTTATTCATTTTGCAACAAATTTAATTGTCAAGCTACGACATGACCAGTCGCCCCCTGCGCATGAAGCGCGTGCCTGATGAGGAGAATAAAGTTATTTAATGCTAAACATGCTGCTTATGGCATCGAAAAGATGAAACGTATTTTAATGCAGCCCACTGGCAGCGGCGCGTGGCGTTTTTTCGGAACGAGAGGGGAGCTCGCGCACATCTGTCGCGGGTCAGTAAAAGAAGTGGCCCTTAGCGACAAAGAGCGCGTGCACGCACTCACACAACGCTTAGCATCTCTGAGCTGGAGGCAGCTGCACTCGGACGGTCTCCTTGAGAGCTGGGACGGCACGCGCCTGTTAGAATGAGCGAACAAAGGAAGTGGCGCGTGCCAGGCTGGAGCAGCACGCTCCAAGGTTCTGAAGGCTTCATTAGCAGGGTCAGTGCACCCCCCCCCCCCCCCCTTCAGCCGAGACATGGCCTGAGACTGTAAACAGCAGCTAGTTGAGTAACGGGATGAACAGAGAGTGCGCGTCCGCGTGCACGAACCCGCTTGTTAAGGGCAAAGGAAACTTGAACGTTTCTCAACGAGCCTGGAAAGCAACACGCTGTTCCAGCGCGTGTCTGTTTCTGTGAACTCAACATCCCATAATAGTCTTTGTGCTTCATAACAGCCTGTTTTTTTATTTAGTTTAACGCGCTCCTGCGATGAAAACACTTCAGGCGAAACGTTAATAAAGACATGAACGTGCGTGTTTTATCACCTGACTATCTGAGGACTTTCATCTTGTCCTGCTGACTGCCCCCCCCCCCCCCCCCCCCCCCCCCCCCGAGAGAGAGTTTTTATTTTTCTGTACATTCTGGTGGTGTTGGATGTTGACAGGGGGGGGGGGGGGACAAAGCAGAGGAGGGAGGGGGGGATTTCTTGAAACAGTGAAACTCGCCCCACGTGGGGCTGTCAGCAGCTCGACCTGAATTGGGACTTTTTGTTATTATTATTTTTTTGCTCCGGGTTCCTGAAGCTGCGCGCGCTGAGCCAATAGCACGAGGCAGGAGCGGAAAGACCGCCCCCACGCTTGCCGAGAAACGACGCAAGCGGGCTATAAAACCACCTCCAGCCTGTTCCGAGCTCAGAATAACACGCAGTCGCTGAGCAGCTCTGTGCATTTGTGGGAACACTGCAACAACCGGATCGCGCTTGGATTATTATAACTATGACTCTGGAAGAGATCAGCGGACAGGAGAACACGATGGAAACCACGGACAGGTACGTGTCTTCTCCTTGCAGCGCAGCGCGGTGGACGCGGCTTTGTTGGTGCGTGCGTTGCTGTTCTTGTACGCGGTGTCCTCATGATGCGCGTGTCTTTGTGCAGGGTGCAAAGTGCAGGCGCAGCCCTGGAGGAGCTGCTGATCGCTGCCAAGAAGCAGGACTACCTGACAGTCGGAGTTTACGAATCTGCAAAAGTCATGAATGTGTAAGTGTTGCAACTTCTTTTTTTTTTTTTTGAATGCAGCTTTATTATTGTAGGAGGAAATAAAAAAATAAAAGGATTTTCCACTGATCACCTCTCTTCTCCCCACAGTGACCCAGACAGCGTGGCGTTCTGCGTCCTCGCCACAGATGAGGAGTACGAGGGTGACATCGCCCTCCAGATCCACTTCACTCTCATCCAGGCTTTCTGCTTCGACAACGACATCAACGTGGTGCGCGTCAACGACATCGAGCGCCTGGCTGACCTCGTGGGCGCGGACGACAGCGGCGAGCCCAAGGACGCGCACTGCATTCTTGTCGCGGTAAGTTTCCCAGAAGCCGCAGTGCACTCACACGTGCATCTTTTTTTCTTTTTTTTTTTTGTCAATGATGAGCTGGTGTGTGACAGAATGCTCTGCTGGTCTTTCAGAGCCCCAGTGCAAACCCCTGGAAGGACCCGGCTCTGGACAAACTGAGCCTGTTCTGCGAGGAGAGCCGCAGCGCCTACGACTGGGTGCCGACCATCACACTTCCAGAGCGCTGAACTGGGCTCCTGCTTTCACAAGATCAAGATGGCGAAGAAAAGTCAAGAAGCTGACTTTCATCTATGGGGAGCCAAGCCTTTCTGCTTCACCTGGATTAAGAGGCTGATTGCACTCCCTGCAGGAGAGCAGCCTTCCAGAGCATTCTGGGTCAGCAAGTTGGTTCTGGATCACCCGGTGTGAGGTGCTGAGGTTCACAGATCAGGTGTTGACTGGGTCAAAGTGGACTCAAAGCCCGATGGACACAGAGAAGGAGGTGGACTGAGCCGCATGGAGCTTAATGGTGACCCTGCTGCCATATAACAGACATGGGGGAGGGAGGGGGAAGTTGAGCAGCAGGTCACAGGGATGCTGTGGACTTCTGAGGACTAGAGTGAATCTCATCACAGAAGGAACAAAGTCCAGATGCTGGTTCTGAAGATGCCTGAGGGGTGTCTGAATGGACATTTTCTTTTTGACGTGCAGTCGTCGGGAATTTCTTGGAATAAGCAAAGAATCTGCTTAAAAATCCCGACTTGAGCTGCAGTAAAACTTTCTTGGACTTTATTTTTACTTTCAAACATGCAAATAGAACAATGCAATGTCCACTTGAATTGTACTCTTTTTTTTTAAATGATTTGTGAATAAAACTTTTGAATCAAACTCTCCCTTTTCTCAGTTTTGTACCTTATGCATAAATCTCCACATATTTCACGTGCATGATCCTGTGTGAGCTAAGATGCAGCAGCGTGTGAGAATCTGCAACAAAAAGTGTCAGGGTGGTTACCTTTCTAAGAAATACAATGTAGTTGGAGGGAAAGTACACATGTAGTCTAGAAAGTAGGTAAAGTAGCACAGCTGCAACATGGCTGAAACTTTTTTTTTGGGGTGGTGGTGGTGGTGGTGTGGGGGGGGGGGGGGTTAACAACCTTTAACCACACAATGACCACCTGCTGTATTTGACTGCATGCAGCTGTGCCGAGGGACACTCGGCTAAACATATCAGAGATGCAAGTTATGCTACTGAAACTGCAGTGAGAGTTAGGCTGAAAAACACATCCAGCAAAACAACAAAGTCCATGCTCAATAATCCAGGTATACAATCCAACATTTTTCAGTCAGGTCATCCGGACTGTGTCTTTTTTTGTGCTGAAACATTTCGCCTTCGATCCGGAAGGCTTCATCAGTCAAGGAAACACACAACACAAAACTGATTCTCCCCCCAACAGCTTACTCCAAAGTGGAATAAACCAGTTTTGTTGGTGCTAAGATGATCTCTTTGCCATGCCCCCTCCTCCATGAAGGAAGAATAATGATGAGAGTGGTGAACAACATCCAGCAAAAATAATTCCAAACCCATCCCAGTTAAACTGTTTGTACGCCTGCAGATATGTGCACACGCCGCCATGTGCACGCCACAGTTAAATGGAAAGGAATCGGAGAAGATCTGTGAGAGAATGAGGGTCATCAGTGGCAGGCTAAGGGGAAGTGGGGGAGTGCTGTGGTCGGCTCAGAGCCGAAGCTGACAGTAATCGGTGGCCCACATCAAAGAAACAGCAGACTTCAGAGAAACCTGTCGCCATTTTCTTGGCAAAAGGACCCCTGTCTGCAGCCTGACGCTGGTCACAACCTGAACGTGCACTCGCATGGGCACACAGGTGCATGCAGGAACAAACCTGTACAGTATGTCCGCAGCATTTGGGACATGTGTGCACTCACCATTGTGCAGACACAAAGGAAAGTTTCTGTTACTGACAGCTCAAACTGAAGGCAGGTGATTACGCAGTGTTCTAAGAACAGAGGAAACGCCTCTTAGGCTGAATTAAAATGCAACTTGTAGACAAAGAAGGGGGGAATTTCCGTGGGATTCACGCTCTGTTCTTTATACCTGTTTTTGAGACCCTCTAAATGACTGAAAATGCAACCCAAGCTAGTCATTTTGTTGCATGCGCTGTCAGAACCGTCGATTATGATTCAACAGAAACACTGATGGGGCCTGTCTCTGTTATTAGTCTGTGGTGACTTTTTACTACAATCAAACATGACACGAAACTGAGTGAAAGCTGAAACGTATGTGAGAAAGTCCCACAAGCCAAATTAACTGCCTCAATTTAGATGCTTGAAAAATTGTTCATAATGCACTTCTGAAAAAGAAAACTTTCAAATATTTTTTAAATGTTCAGGGCACTTCAGACAGCCTGCTTTGTTTTCTGCAACAACAACAACAAAAAAAGCATCAATTGCTCCTCTTGACCTGATTGTTGAAAGAAAGCAAAGGCAATATGTAATGCACCAGACACACATAGTTCAAATAAGCATACAACTATTAACATAAGTATAGACACAGATTTGAATAAGTGTACTGTAATTACAGATAAATAGTAAGTTTATGTTTAAAGCATTGGCCCAGTTTACATAAAAGTTACATTTCTGCTCTTAGTGACAAACCAGACTGTTTTTCTGGTACCGTATTTTCCGGCGTATAAGTTGCAGTCTTTTTTTGCAAAGATGTGTCAGTCCTGTGACTTATACATCGAAGCGACTATACTTTTTTTTCCCCATATTCATAACGCAATTTTTGACTGACACTTTAAATTTCGAAGAACTGCTTCATCGAGTCTTCCCATGTGCGATTGCTTCATTCAGCTGGTGCAGGTGGAGGAACGCTGGAGAGCTAACGGCTCCGGCCGCGATGGATGGATGGATGGATGGCACCGCCCCACCCAGGTGAAATGAAGCTGCTTTGGCCATTAAATAAATTCATAATAAACTCGACTGGTCAGCGGTGACGCATAATAAATGTGACTTATACGCCGACGCAACGTATATATGTTTTTTTTCTCTTCATGATGCTTTTTTTGACGGATGTGACTGATATGCCAGAAAATAGAGTACTCTAGCTTTAATTTGTGCATCTGAAGACAAGTTTATCTGCTGTCTCCCATCTTTGTTCCTGCAGCATCTGAAGAGGCCTGTTTTAACCGACAATCATTCTGTAGACTGCGGACAACTAAAGTCAGTCTGGTGTAAAGGAGCTCCTGCTGTTGCTGCTGTTTGTGTGGCATTAACAAACATCTTCTCCCTGTGTTGGCTGCGGTGCCAAAGCCTGGAGCAATAGTCCAGACTGCTGAGACAGCTGACTGTCTGCACAAAGTCTGAGCCAGAGATTTAGAGCTGCGATAGACTGAAAATAGGGAGCGAGACCAGACAGATGTGTAACGTGACTTAGAAATATTAATGTTTTCAACTTTGGCATCAAACATGGGTGAACAACACATCAGAGTAGTTGTGTCCTATGAAACATTTGATCTATTTCACCTATAAGACAGAATTCTTTGTGAGCTTCCAACCTGCACCACTTACCACAGATGCATGGAAAACACCAACATTTAACATGCCGATTGGAAAACAATATTGAAAAACCTAAAACAATTAAATCAGCTCCTCTGGACAGATTCTTCTTGTTGAAATATTTCGTCTTTTATCTAAAAGACTTCGTCAGTTTGAGGAGCTGCAATAAACTCAATCTTCTCTGGAGCACAAGTTAGGAGTCATAAGGACTTTGTACCACAGAGCGGACAGCATCCCTTCTATATCAGGAGCCAGGCAGAAGGAGAAATCCCACACAAGACAGGACCTGGAGCAATGTGGATATCCTAACTGGGCCTTCCTGAAAGCAGAGAAGAAACCCAAACAGGACTCCAGTCAGCCAACAGGTGAAAAGGAGGAACCCAGACCCAGACCAGTGGCCATTCTGTACGTTGCAGGAGTTTCAGAGAAACTGACACGTTTATTTTATCAACATAACATCCCATTACTTTTAAACCACATTAAAGACTGGTTCATCCCAAAGATCCAGTCCCCCGGCACAAACAGAGTAATGTTGTGTATGCTGTTCAGTGTCAGGGCTGTGATCAGTCTTACGTCGGGGAAACTAACCAGCCACTGGACAAAAGGATGGCCCAGCACAGAAGAGCAGCATCATCAGGCCAGGATTCTGCGGTTTACACTCATCTCCAGGCCAGCGGTCACTCTTTCCGGGATGAAGATGTTCACATCCTGGACAGAGAGGAACGATGGTTTCAGAGAAGAGTGAAGGAAGCCATCTTTGAGAAAGGAAAATGTCCATCATTAAACAGGGGTGGTGGCCTCCCTGTCCAATTGTCACCTTCTTGTATTGCTAGTATTACTCATATTACGAATAGCAAGCAGACATCAAGGCACTAAGATCGTTAGGCTGATGATCCTCCTTTATCATGTGAACGTGTTTCCAGCCAACCGGTTGATCCACTATGAGAAGGGGCTATTCATAAGACTGGGTTTATTGCAGCTCCTCAGACTGACAAAGTCTTTTGGATAAAATATAAAACGTTTCAACGAGAAGAATCCGTCCAGATGACCTGACTTTACTTTGTTGGATTTTTCTACCTGGATTATTGAGCATGCTTCAGGATATTTAAAAACAGATTTTTGATTATTTTCTTTTATGTTTATGTTGTCCTGCTTAAAAAATAAAAAAATACACAGTTCAATACAAATATAACTGCTAACACTAGGTGTTTCTGAATAAGACCATACAAGCAATGTAAGCATTTTGGATACAAATAACCTTTTAAGCAACCACCGTAGTCACTTTCTCATGCTTAGGAGTAATTCATGGTATGTATTATGTATAGATCTTTCTAAATAGTACACATACTCCATCAAAAGTGGAGACAAGTGAGAACAGATGGGTTGCATCTGCTGAGTGGTAATCCTCCTTTCTAGCCCTCTGAGGTGAATTTATCAGCATGCAATGTGTTTGTTTTGTACCTCACAAAAAGTGGAAACATGAATAGGATTCTACTGTGAAAAACAGTTTCTTGGCTTACCTCCAACAATTATGACAGAACTGTTGCTTTCAGCTTCAAGCAAAATGATAGATAATTTATTACTAATATTAATCTTATTGTCTAATTGTTGGCGAGACATTGAATAAGCATAATTGTCAAGATGAATTAGTATTCCTTTGAAGGTGTGGGCTTGCATTGCCAAGTCTATATCTACACTGTGTCAGTTCCTTTCTCATTGTACCATCGTTTGAATATTTTGGCTTTTACGGGAGTTATTGAATAATTTATTTTGTCTTGTTTGTGTAAAACTGGTGAAAAATTCTAGTTGCTCTGGCATGCGTGCAAAAAAAAAAAAAAGGTGTTCAGGAAGAGCATAGTTTAGTTGGATTGACCTGCAAACGTTCAGGTCAGTCATTGCTGGAACGTTTTGTACTATGAGGTAAACTTGACAGTCAGTGAAAGAGCAGGGACTGTTCATTATGCCTGGTTGGCCGCATGAACTACATCTT